TGAGAAACCTCAGATAAGAAACCCCCTCCAAGGGGCACTACCACTGCAATGGTGTGAACGGGCCATCTCCCTTTGTGACATCCCACCTCTTGTAAATGGTTTCAACTCACATCCCCAGTCCCTCATGCAATTTCACAGTCCCTGATCCCAAGCCTTAGACACCAAATATGTTTTGGAATCCGGAACTGACACTGGTAATATGACACATATATATGTCTTTGACCTCACCCCCAACACAGGGCTCCTAAACCCTAGTAAATTCCTAAGTGATGAGAACACTGGAAGCATCTTTTGTTCTAATGAGGCGACTCTGGGTGGGCTCCTGGATGACTCCTGGGTGGGGGCTGGTCACCAGAAAGACCAAGCCATGATTAGAAGCTTGAAATTTTCCGTCCCACCCCCATCCTCCAAACAGGGGAAAGAGGCTAGAAACAGTGTTTGTAGTTGATCATGCCTACGTGAGGAAGCGTCCATAACATCCCAATAGTAGAGGTTTTGGGGAGTTTCCAGGTTGGCGAACACAACCACACAAGGAGGGTGACACATCCCAGTTCCACAGGGACAGAAGCTCCTGCACTCAGGGTCTTTCCAGAACTCTTCATCTGGTGTTATTCTGCAGCCCTTATCATATCCTTTAATAAACTGGTAAACGTGTTTCCCTGAATTCTAGGAGCAGCTCTAGCGAATTAATCGAACCCAAGGAAGAGATCATTGCAACTTGCCACCTAGCACTGGCTGATCAGAGGCACAGGTCCATCTGTCTATTTTAGATTTGTGACTGGCATTTGAAGCAGGGAAGGGGGGAGACAGGTTTGTGGAAACTGAGCACTTAAACCGTGGGATCTGACGCTCTCTCTGAGTAGATAGTGTCAGAGTTGAGTTAGATCCTTGGACACCTTGCTGGTGGCTGAGAATTGCTTGTTGGTGTCAGGAAATGTCTCCACAGATTTGGTGACCAGAAGAGACAGAAGGGAAGTGTTTTGTGTGAGTAATGAATCAGACTCGTATACCATATATGTTACTTACGTATATTACATCATAAGTAGGTATTAAAAGGGACTCACGCTAAAGTACACATATATTACCTCCCACCAGGGGCTTCTGGGACAGTCCCCAATAATCAAGCATATTAACATCCTTATTATATGCATATTTGAGCTAAGGAATAAATAAAGACCATAAACACATTCACATGGGTTCAGTCTATTTGGGCTGCTAAAGGAGCTGTGAAAATTTTCCTGTTTGGGGATTTTATGGTTCCGAATGCAGGATTATGAATCTGTGATTGTTTTTATAACACCACCTGTTTCCAAATTTGCCTTTGTAACTTTGTGACCCCCATCTTGGCAAGGGTGTCTTTATGACATCACAGATGTGTCATTGTAACCCCTCTCCTGTGAATTGTTGTTTCTTTGTTACACGCCCATGGGACACTGTAGAATTCTATGTGTATGTTGGCGTGAAATGTATTGAGTGCTTACCGAGAGCCTGGCACTGTGCATTGAGTGTGTATTCAGTGCATCAACTCTTATAACCATCTGTATTAGGTCTGCTGGGGCTGTCACAACAAAGTACCACAAACTGAGTGCCTTAAGCAAGATGTTTATTCTCTCACAGTTCTGGAGGCCAGGAGTCCAAAATCAAAGTGTTGTCAGGATTAGTTCTCTCTGGGGCTGCAAGGGAGGGGTCTGTTCCAGGTCTGACCCTCCTCGATTTGTAGATATCCTTCTTCACGATCACATGGCATTTTCTGTGTGTGTGTATGCACACAGGTCTATCTCCAAATTTCCCTTTTTACAAGGACGCCGATCATATTGGATTAGGGCCCAACCTAACGACCTCATTTTAACCTAATTACTTCTGTAAAGACTCTATCTCCAAATACAGTCACATTCTGAGGTCCTGGGGGTTAGGGTTTCCACATATGAATCGGGGCGGGGGGCACACAATTCAGCCCAAAGTTTTCTGTATTCTATAAGCTCACTTGGAAGTGACAGTGGGGGACACCTGGGTGGCTCAGTCGGTTGGGTGTCTGCCTTCAGCTTGGGTCATGATCTCAGAGTCCTAAGATCGAGCCCCACATCAGGCTCCCTGCTCCTGGGGAGCCTGCTTCTCCCTTTCCCTCTGCTTGCCGCTCCACCCGCTTGAGCTCGAGCTCGAGCTCTCTCTCTCTCCCTCTGTCAAATACATAAATAAATGAATCTTTAAAAAAAAGGAAGTGACCAGGGTTCCAGGAAGACTGGTTCTACAACTCACGCTGTCGACCACTCTACCTGTTATTGGCTGTGTGACCTTGGGCTAACTTCCCTGGGCCTTAATTTCTTTGCCTGTAAAATGGGAATGAAAATAAAATAGCACCCTCCTGTTGGAGTCTTCGCAAAGCAATTAGTGCCTGGGACCAGTAAGCATTAATAAACATCAGCTATAATTCCTGTCACTATTATAGAATTCCATCTGTGTACCTTGGGTCTTAGTAACATATGATGACATTATGGGGCCCAAGTATCCTTGCTGTGGGACACTCTCACACCCAAATAACCCAGGAAGTGGGACAGAATCTCAGATCCCAAAACTACCCAGAAAGGTAATGACAGCCTTGAGGGCCTGCATCCTTGGGCAGCATGGAACAGAACCCACCCCAGAAGGAAATTCATGGAAGGACACTCAAGTTTCTCATAGCCCTCAAAGGCAGATACTAAATGTACTGGGTTGAATAGTGTCCCCCCCCCCCCAAAAAATGGTTTTTTTTCATGCCCTTCCTGGAACCTCAGAATATTGACCTTATTTGGAAATAGGGTCTTTGCAGATATAAGTAGTTAAATTAAGATGAGGTTATACTGGAGTCATGTGAGTGGTATATCCAATATGAGCAGTGTCCTTATAGGAAGAGGAGAAGAGAAGCAGATGAGATGCACAGAAGGAAAAGCCGTGCCACAAGGGAGGCAGAGATGAGGGTAATGCAGAAGCCAGGAAAGGAATGCCATCCACCAGAAACTGGAAGAGGCAGGGAAGGAGTCTTCCCTAGAGCCTCTGGAGAGAGCATGGCCCTGCCAACACCTCGATTTTGGACTTCTGGCCTCCAGGACTGGTGGAAAATAATTATCTGGTGCTCTAAGCCACCCAGTTTATGGTACTTTGTTTGTGGTTTGTTTTAAGTAGGCTCCATGCCCAGCTTGGAGCCCAAGGTGGGGCTTGAACTCATGGCCCTGAGATCAACGCCTGGGCTGAGATCAAGAGTCAGTGGCCCAACCAGGTGCCCCTATGGCACTTTGTTAGAGCAACCCTGGGAAACTAAGGCACTAGGGCATCCCACAGCACCAGGAAGAGGCAAGTAGGAAACGTCAGTAGCTCCTCTGTCTCTCTAGGGCTCTACGGTCTCATCTGTGAATCCCCACACATCTTCCTCCTCCCCCGCCCCCCTCTCTCTCTTGCACACGCTTCCCTCCATGTTTCTGTCATACACAGCTTCCAATTCCTGACCAGAACGGTTGGTAGAGCCAGGCCCGCCCCTATTCCTGTGGAGGAGATCTGATTGGCCCAGCTTGAATCATGTGTCCGTCCTGGCCCAGTCAGCTGCACCGGAGAACTGGCGTCACCTGGTGCTATTCAAAATAGGCAACAACTAGGTTAGCCTGTCGCTGGTCCCTGGACCGAGAGTTCTGCGGAGCACCCTTCCCCCCCACAACCCTGGAGGTGAACCAAGTGCAAGGTTTTGGATGGCAAAGGCCATCTTGGAAGTCCAGAGCAAGCATCTAGTAATGGGGGCGGGGGGGGGGGGGCAGTAACAGTCTTTTGCCAATATGTGAACCAGACCGAAGGCATCTTGGACAGATGGCCACCAAGACCGCTCTGACCTGAAAAGCCTTCTTTAGCACAGCACCCCCACACACATCCTTTCCCTTTTACTTAACCACATCCTTGAGTATCCCTGGTCCTTGATCTGCTCTGGAGACATGACTGTGACACACCTATTCTCAAATATTCTCCTCCTGAGTGCCCTCGTCCTGCCCCCACCCCATGGACTCCCAGCCTCTAGCAGGTCTGACAGGAGGTGGGGGTTTCAGGGACCTGCTCCTCTCGCAGCCACTCAAAACAGGTTTCTGTCTGTGAGTCCCCTTAATAAACCATTTCTCATCAAGCCGCACTCGTAGACCTTTTTCTTCCATCTTACAGCTCCTTAGGATTTGTCATTTTGCACATACTTCCTTTTCACGGGACAACCAACTAGTATGGAACGGTTTATTTATTTTTTGTGGGTTTTTTTAAGTTTATTTATTTATTTATTATTTGTTTGTTTTTATTTTTTAGTAACCTCGACACCCAACTCGGGGCTTGAACTTACAACCCAGAGATCAAGGGTCGCACGCTCTTCTAACTGAGCCAGCCAGGCGCCCCTAGAACTAGGTCAATAATTTAATTCCCAGTTAGGGTGATACTCACAGGTGTCAGCTCATGCCAGTCCTGCACACTCAGGAGGAACTCTGAGAAGGGCTAGAGATGGGTCAGGCAAAAGGCGTTCACTTCCACATCCGCATCTTCACTGCCCGTCCCACACCCTCCTGTCTGGCCAGTGGGGGCCAGTCTTCCACCGCTGTCTCCCTTGTTCCTGTTCTTCCTCCTAAGGCCCATCTAGGTCACCTGCTCTGTGAAGGCTTCTCTGCCCACCCCACCCCCTTTTGTCCTAGGTAAGAAACCAAGATCCAGCCAGTTTATATGGACCAGCAGGCAAATCTGCGGGGTGGGGAAATTATGGCGCTGGGGGGACTGGCTGGTCTGGAGACAGTGGTGTATAGCAAATGTCTAACAACCGGCTCTCCAGAGGGGGAAAAATGAGTATGTGAGTTTATTATAAATTTTGTTGGCAAAAATGTGCAGCATGTATCTACGAAAAACATATAAAATACTCTCCTTTTTTTTTTTAAAAGAATTATTTAGGGGGCGCCTGGTTGGCTCAGTTGTTTGGGCGACTGCCTTTGGCTCAGGTCATGATCCTGGAGTCCCAGGATCGAGTCCCGCATCGGGCTCCCTGCTCAGCGGGGAGTCTGCTTCTCCCTCTGACCCTCCCCCCTTTCATGTGTGCTCTCTCTCTCTCTCTCTCATTCTCTCTCTCAAATAAATAAATAAAATCTTAAAAAAAAAAAAAGAATTATTTAGTTATTTGAGAGAGAGCACGTGCGCATGTTCACACGAGCAGGGGGAGGAGCAGAGGGAGAGAGAGAATCCCAAGCAGACTCCCCACTGAGTGCAGGGCGGACACAGATCCCACACCTCTGAGAGCATGACCTGATTTGAAATCAAGAGTCAGATGCTTAACCAACTGAGCCACCCAGGTGTCCCTATAAAATACTCTTCATTGCAAACCGCATAGTCAACGCTTACAGAACGCGGTCTTGGATTTTTCCCACACTGGTACCCATAGCCACGTATGGGTCCAAGCGACAAGGTTGGTAGGTTCCTTTAAAGACTAAGATGAACTGGAACAACAAAGATGTCCCCACCTCACTTGTTTGTCAGTCATCTTGAGCAACTTCTTTGCTAAATCAGATAACGGTCTGAAAACACAAGACAAATACTTCCTCAATTTCTCATGTGCTCCTCCCAACGTCACGGCTCAAGACAAGACACACTTTCGAGTTTAATCTACATGTTTAATCCACACTTTCTCCATCACTGTCTTAAATAGGTGATCCACACACAATAACGTGAAGCCAACCTGAAGCATTTGCAGATGCCCATGGCCAATGTTAAGTCCCCAGCATGAGGTCACCTAACAGGTCCTTCAGAACAGCATTACACAGTACTTCCACCATGCGGACACCAGCAGGTCACGTCACCAGCAGAGAGAATGACAAAATGGGAATGAACTCCCAAAAGCATAGGGTTGTTATGTCTCAAATAGATACCTCATGCTGTCCGACATACAGCAAAGGTTCAATACTTCTCGGTCAGTAGGTTTATAAGTATCATATCATCCAATACCACGCACCATCCATCCCACACTCTCCCATGTGGTCCAGGCACACGGGGTCACACACAATCATAGTTCTGGTGCCAAGCAGGCATACCTGATGGCCAGCATGGCAAAAGCTGGGCTGTCTGTCTGTCTTGTTCATAGCTGTGTCCCCAACACCTAAAACAGTGCCTGATACAAAGGAGCGGCTCAGAACAACTTGCATGAATAAAGCTCACACATCACACGGACCCCTGAAGACTAGCCCCCTGAATGCCAGAACAGGGCTGGGGATGAGTCTTTATTTCGCACATATTAACATAAATAAATTTTTTTAATCTGTTTTTTTAATCTGTTTCGCCGGCCCTGCACAGGGCCTTGCCTACAGCAGATGTTCAATAAATATAAATGGAATGGATTAATATAAAGTACACTGTTGAGCTCAGGCTCAGAATACATACCAGAAGTTCGACTTGGGGCAGGAATGGGAGAGTGACTTGGAGAGTCCTCGAGGAGTGGGTTAGCAGCGGGGACCCCTGCCAAGCCAGGTGAGGTAGAGTGGCTGGGTCGTCAGTCAACCAAGAGCCCCAGTGAAAGAAGGCAGCATTCATTCCCGGTCCAGGGGCCCGGAGCCAGGCCCCGTGTCAATGGGCCACGACGAGGGGAGTCCAGCGGGGACTTTGGTGGCCACTCTGAAGAGGCCCAAGATGGTGGCACCCTGTGCGAGCTGCCAAGCGAGGTGCGCCCCCTCCTCAGCCCGCAGGTGAACACCCAGGCGCTGGCCAGCGCCCAGGTGCAGCAGGCTGCCCCAGAAACCAGCTGCGGAGTCACGGGCCTCTGAGGATGGAGGAGGCAGGTCCAAGGTCAGGGCCAGGGCTGCAGCCCTGACACCAAGCGGCTGCAGATGCAGGGCAGCAGAGACTGAGCCGGAGCCTTTGCCGGACACCACCCGCTGCAGCTTCAGGTTCAGGAAAACATAGTAGACCCCGGGTTCGGCCACCATCAGCTCCCCAGTGTGCTGGTCGTAACTCAGGCCTGGCCCTAGGAACACGCCTGCCAGGCCGGGGTCACTGTACCAGTGCAGGGGCCCTTCAGTCAGCTGTACTGAAGGAGGAAGAAGAGGGGAAGGTTCCTTGAGCATGGCTGTGGAGCAGGAGTGCAGCCCTGGGGAGGAGGAGCTGGGGCTCTGAGCCCGGGAGGGACAGAGGTCTCAGAAGGAAGAAGTTCTGAGAAGGAGGTGAAGTTGGTGAGGGAAGGGGGGACAGGACAGCGAGGGAGGGGAGGACAGTCGTGAAGAGGGAGAGTGGGGGTGCAGGGTGGGAAAAGCAGAAGGAAGCCTGAGGAGGGGAAAGGATGCCAAAGGTAGGAGGGGCAGTCTGACTCGGGAGAGCAGGTGGGGAAGGAAGGAAGGGGGTTGGCGGGGAGGTGAGGGGAATGGGGGAGGTGGCACAGCCTGGAGGGGACTCAGGAGGGAGGAGGTGGAAGGGAGAGTCTCAGGAAGGGGGAGAAGACCGAGGGGGGGGAGGGAGGGGGAGGGAGGGAAGAGGGGGGCCATACCTCCCAGAGCCCAGCGGGAGAGACAAGAGCAGGTGGGATCAGTGGAATCAAGCCCCAGGTCTGCGGGGGGGCCGGAGGGAACCTGAGGTAGGTACATTTGGGAGTCAGAGGAGGAAAAGCCGGCACCCTGATAGGGTCATGGGAAGGTCAGGAAGACAGAGGAGGTTCAAAAAGGTGAGGGGACAGCTTTCAGAGAGGAGGGGAAGACGGTCAGATGGAGGGAGAGGAGGCCTCCCTGTCCCAGGATCCCTCCGCCTTGTTGTCACCCCCGCCCCCGTGCGCCCAAGGGGAATGACCGCGGGACACTCACCATCTCGGGCCACCAGCTGCGCGAACACGCCCTGCGGAGAGAGGAAAGGCGGAAAGTGGACGGAGGCTCCCCCTCCCGCTGCCGCAGCCCCCTGAAAAGTGGGGGTCCCCGGGGTCTGTGCAGGCCTTGAGCCCTCCCCCCTGCTCCAGATGAACACACTAGCATACACGCGCACCCAAAGCTGGTCCCCCAACCCCTGGAGTCTGCAAGGGCAGAACCTCGTGATTCAGCAGAGAAAAGAGGAGCGAGTCCCTCCAAGAGGCCCTTGGGAAGGAAACGGGGAGACCCCAAGGGCGCGGGAGAAAAGCGAGGTTCTCCGGGAGTTAGGAAAGAACGCGGAGTCCCCCTCACGGTTGGAGATAAAGAAGAGCCCTCGGGGTCCGCGATGGAGAAAGGGTTACCCTCCGGGGCCCGGGACGCAGATGGGGTCTCACGGGGGTGCCCCCCGAAGTCCTGGATAAAGAAGGGGTGCTCTCGGGGGCCCGGGTAGGAGAAGGGATTCCGGGCGCATCTCACCTGCGGAGAGTCGGGGAGGCGGGCGCGGGCGTCGGGCAGGAGCTCGGGGAGCTCGGGGAGCTCGGGGAGCCCGGGGCTGGGCGCGGCGGGGGCCCGGGGCGCGGCCCAGCGGAGGGCGCAGGCGGCTCCGGTGCCGGCGAGCAGCAACAGCGCGGCGCTCAGGGCCCAGGGCAGCGGGCGGCAGGCGCTGCCGGGGGGCGCGGGCGGCCGCTGGGCCTCGGGGTCCGGGCAGGCGTCGGTGCGGGGGCACATGGCCGGCGGCGGGCGGCTGCAGCCGGGCCCGGGGCCCCGCGCTTTATAGAACTCAGGAAGCCGCGTTTTCCGGGGCGGAGCGGGTGGGGATCCCGGCTCCCCGCCCTCTCCGCCTTCCGTCTGAAGTTTCCCTAACTTTCTCTTCTCTGAATCTCTCTCCGCTTTCCATCTGCTTTCTCGCCCTCAAAGGCCTGCTCCACCGTTTCCTCTTCGTCCCCGGTTCTCTCCCTCCCCGGTTATCTCTCTCTCTGCCTCTGTCTCTCTGGGTGCCTCTCCGTCACTCTGCATCGCCTCTTCTCTCTGTGCCTCTCTCGCTCTTAATCTGTCCTTGTCTCTGTGGACTGTCACCTACGAGGTCTCAGGGGATCTTTCCATCTCTCGGCCTCATTATTTCTGTGCGTCTGTCTCTCTCTGTGTGTCTGTCCCTGTCTCTCGATGTCTCTGACTCTCTGATTTTCGGTTTCTTAGTCTCTCAGTCTGTCTCTTTCCCTTCTTTCTTGCCACTCTCTAGCCCCCCATCACTGGGGCTCCCCCAGCGCTCCCCTAAATCCAGCATATCTGCAGAGGGGTCAGGGAACAGCCAGGCCTCATCCCCCTTCTCTGGAGCATAAGCTCCCCCCACCCCCGCCCCAGTTGGAACCCTGAGTGGCAAACTCAGCCCTCCCACCACCCTCCCTCACCTTCCCGGGGAGCCCTGGGCCTTCCCTGGCTTGCCCCCACCCACCCATCTGGATGCTTCCCGTCAGGGGCCCCTTCTGGACCCCACAAGCAGAAGGCTGGAGAGTCCAGGTAGAGAAATCCCCCTTACAGGGAAGGGACAGTCTTGGCTAAAGCAGAGGAAACTCAAATTTCCCGTTCACTCTCCACTGGTGGAGGCGGGGTGGGAGGAGGAGCAGAGCAGGGGCGAAAACCCGGACCCAAAAGAGGAAGCCGCGGTATATTGAGAGACAGGCGGCACTGGGAAAGCCCTGGCCTCCTCCAGAAGCTCGGCTCCTCCGGGCCGGGCCAGGTGGACACTGGCCAGGCAAGGGATCCCAGTATTGCATCAGTGGCAGCCGGGAAATGCGGGCGGGGGGGCGGGGGTCGGGATTTGGGTTCAGCGGAATCGTTATGGGATGATTGCCCTGCGTTCTATTTTGTTGTATTGGGCCTCCTCGGAGAATTACCGGAAGCAGTCACGGTGCTGGCTGTTGTTGATGCTAATAGGTGCTAATGTTTCCTGTATCTGAACAGTTTACAAAGTGTGACACCCGACCTAGCAAACTAGCCAGGCAGCAGCACCTGGGGATTTGTTAGTTATGCAAATTCTAGCACCGCAAACTAGGCCTATTGACACTCTGGGAGCAGAGAAGCCCAGGAATCAATGTGTGGTTGAGCCCTCCAGGCAGGGATTCTGAGGCTCGCCTAAGTTAGAGATGCCAGTGCCTTGTACCAGGGTCGTTCCTTTCCACCTGCCATCCCTCTGGCTGGAATGTTCTTTTCCAGACCTGCAGGCAGCGACACTTTCAGTTCCAACATCACTGCCGGTAGAGAGGATGAGCCGAGCACCACGTTCTACTAGCACTTTCCTGAAACCCCATTGCGGTGACAACTAAGCGATTGTTTTGAAAACTAAACCGAAATTGTTAGCCAGCAGGGCAGGAAGCCAAATATCATCTCCGTAGCAGAATTCCACCATCGCCATCCCCCAAGGCTCCCCGGCTGGGGGTGACCCCCTCCCAACTCCAAAAGAGAGTGTGGCGGATGACTGCTAACATTGAGGAGTTTGCTTCAATAGATCCCCCAAAAGAGACACCAGCTTTTCTCCCCAGCAGAGCGGAAAAACAGCCATTTCTAGAGTTGCTTTTTCCTCCGGAGAGCCGAAAGGGCAGTTTCCGGGCAGAGGAAGCCAGCTGAGGGTAGGAGAATCACGCTGGGAACCGGAGTGGTAAGCAGACCCCTGACCACGAATGCAGGAGCTGAAATTTCCCCCACCCCAACCCTCGCCCTCACTCAGCACCCAGGACTGGGAAATGGGACAGTAAGAGACCCCTCTCCTAGGAATCGGACCAACCAGGAAGAAAGATTTACCGATCCTGAGGCCAAAGTGTCCTCTCCCAATGGCATCACCCCGCCAAGAAGCTCACAGGCCATGGGCCAGCCTCTTTACTAGTAAGCCCTACCCCACAGCAAGCCATAGCCGGGGATTGCCTCCGCTGACAAAAAAAAAAAATTACAGAAAGAGGTACTTGGGAGTCCACAGGCATCACCTTCTCCAAGGACCCAAATGAAAGTGTCCTGCTCTTGGGTCTGGGTTATATGCCCCATGGGATTTCCTTGGTAGCATTTCCACCATCTGAAATACACTCGTTCGTTTCATTTCCTTGCTTGTTTTGCCCAGGAGATTGTTATCTCCTGAAGAGTCACATCTCCGGCTGCCAGCCTCGATAGTATTCACTGAATGAATGAATGAAGTATATAGCATGGCAGTTACCAGCATGAACTCGAGAGGTCAACAAAGTACAGTCCACCAACGACACATTTTGTGTTTGTTTCTGGTTTTAAATGGCAGGGCAACGTCAAAAGAAGATTTCACAGCATGTGCAAATTATAGGCAATTCAAATGTCGGAGTCCACAAATAAAGTTCTTTTTTTTTTTTTTTGCTTTTTTTATTATGTTATGTTAACCACCATACATCATTAGTTTTTGATGTAGTGTTCCACGATTCATTGTTTTCGTGTAACACCCAGTGCTCCATGCAGTACGTGCCCTCCTTAATTTCCCATCACCGGTCTTACCCAACCCCCCCACCCCCTCCCCTCTGAAATCCTCAGTTTGTTTCTCAGAGTCCATAGTCTCTCATGGTTCGTCTCGCCATCCGATTTCCCCCCCTTCATTTTTCCCTTCCTTCTCCTAATGTTCACCATGCTATTCCTTATGTTCCACAAATAAGTGAAACCATATGATAATTGACTTTCTCTGCTTGACTTATTTCACTTAACAAATAAAGTTCTATCGGCACCCCGCCCCTGTGCCCATTCATTTGCGGGGCGTCTATGGTTGTCTTTGCAGTGCTATGGCAGAGTCGAGTGTTGCAAGAGAGACTGGCCCACAAAGCCCAAAATATTCACTCTCTCTGGGCCATTTCAGGGAAAAAAAAAAAGTTACTGCTTCTTCTCTAGAGGCTTGAATTTCACCTCTCGAATGTCTTGCTTGTGATCTTGGCCAGGCGGCTTTACCTCCCTGAGCCTCATTTTTCCTGATATGGTAAATGGGAATAAAAGTAGGTCTCCAAGGGTGGTTAAGAGCTTGCCAGGAGGACGGCCAGGCACATCGTGAATGCTCGATAAAGGGGAGCTGGCATCATATGATCTCTGAATCTCCCACAACCCCCGTAACACCGTCATCCCCAATAGGCGGATGCAGAAACTAAGACTCCAAAAGTTGGAGTCACTTAGCCTCAGTGACTCACGGTGACTGTTCGGAACTCCCTACACCCAGGGGCTCGACAGCAATCTATACACTCCCCCCAAGGAGGGGAAACAAGGCCTGGCAGCCCGGGGAAGGCTCAGGCCACAGCCAGGGAGTGCCATGACGTGCTGCTGTGGTCGGGACATCTGAGCCAGGCAGCCCTGCCCATCACAAGGTGCTCAGCATCACCCTCTAGCACCCCACGTTCAGTGGAGTTGCACCTCTGCGTTCAGCGGTCTCCCCAAGGTGAGTGTGGGCCGTTTTCCTCACCTCTGGGGTAGGACCTGAATCCTCACCCTTACCATCATAGGGCTCAAGGGAGGGACTGGGCAGGAAGTAGTTGGAGGGAGGAGCACTGGCCCTCACCCCTGTGAGGCCCAGTGAACAGGTACCTTCTCCAGGAAGTGTGCCTTGATTTTTCCTAGTAAAATTCATCTCCTTTTCCCTGGGTTCCACATTGCCTCCTAGCCCCTACCTGTGGCCTCCCCACCCCACCCCCGCCTGTGTCAACTTCCAGCTGGCCTGGATCCTCTGTCTCCCCCAGGGCAGAGGCAAAGCCTAACAGAGAACATTAGTGATGTTTGCTGAGTAAGTACACAGTGAGAAAGCAAGCAAGTGAGCAAGGGACCAAACGGGGGTGTGTAAACAAGAAAAGAAGAAAAAAGGGAAGGAAAGAACCGAATCGAATAAAATTGGTCTTGAATCATGGCAATGTGTTTGGGGTTTTTTCTTTGTTTATTTTGTTTTGTTTTGTTTTTTTTAAGATTTTATTTATTCAGAGAGAGAGCAAGAGAGCACAAGCGGGGTGTGGGGGGGGGCAGCAGGCAGAGGGAGAAGCAAGCTCCCCAACTGAGCAGGGAGCCCGATGCAGGTCTCCATCCCAGGACCCCGGGATCATGACCCGGGATCAGCTTTGTGGAGTTGGGGTGCACAGCCAGCTGCTTCGGAATTGTGTGATTCCAATGTGATGTTGCATGTTTAGGAATGAGGACGGGGAGGGGTCCCGTGTGTGCACAGGTGTGTCTTTAGTTGAGGAACAACCCTGGCACAACATCCAAACTGCTCGGCTTCAAATCCCAGCTCTGCCCCTTGCTAGTTGTATGATCTTGAGCACATTCTTTCCCTTATCTGTGCCTCGGTTTTCCCATCTAAGAAGTGTGGCTAACAGCAGTGACCACCTCATAGGATTATTGTCCGGGATAGGGAGGTGCTCTGTAGGGTTAGCCATCATTTCTGGCGGCCTGGTTCTCCTTGTGATTCGATGGAACACACCACCAGGGTCCAAAAACTAGTGCAGGCATCCGGACGGAAAGACAGACAGGCAGGAATGTCGGTTCAAAAGTGTTTTCGGAATGCAAATAGCCAAAGCAGTCATTGAAAAAAAAATGGCCAGGGCGCCTGGGTGGCTCAGTTGGTTAAGCTACTGCCTTCGGCTCAGGTCATGATCCTGGAGTCACAGGATCGAGTCCCGCATCGGACTCCCTGCTCGGCAGGGAGTCTGCTTCTCCCTCTGACGCTCTCTCTCTCTCATTCTCTCTCTCAAATAAATAAATTTTAAAAATCTTAAAAAAAAAAAAAGAAATGGCCAGAAAAAGTTTGGTAATCAAGCCGTGGAGAAGGTT